CTCTCCTCGTGGCTGCGCTTGGGCAACTGCATATCTGTTCGTCTGTATTTACCGTTTCACAGGCTCCACTCAGACGAGGCAACTGTTTGCTCTTTCCCTTCACCGCAGAATCAGATCGTGACTTTTATCGAAAATACTGTGACGATCGTGTTCTTGTAGAGTCCGCTATCGATGACAGCTTCGACTGTCATCACTCGCTTCACACGCTGCGCATGTTAAGGTGATGTTTGTTTCAGTCAGCGCCTGTGTAAATGTGGCGCACTTTGCCGGGGAATTGTTAACCTTAGCTGAACATACTCTGCTCTGCGATTACTCTTCTGGTTCATTTGATGCCAGTGTGGCCTTGTTTGGTCGCTTCAACTAATGCGGGACAACGTTTATTTCTCTGTGTCATCGCGTTTCTCTTCGCGTACTCATCGCTGCAACAAACCACCGGTTTTGTCGCCTCTTAATCTCCTCTTTTTCAGGCATATTCTATCGTACGCAAAATGACCGCTATCAAGGAAATTACCTGTATTGGTGCGGGTTTTGTTGGAGGGCCGACATGTGCCGTGATTGCATACAAATGCCCCGACATCAACGTGACGGTCATCGACTGCTGCCCAGAAAAAATCGACGAGTGGAACTCGGACGAACTGCCGATTTACGAGGTAAACAACATTCTAGCGTTTCTGATTTGCTCCGTGTTCTCCGGAGATCCATCGAGACTTCAGCAAGGGGTAACAAGGCGATGTGGCGAATAAAGGTAGCTGATTATGTGAGACACCCCTGTCGAGCATAAACCGTCATGCTGCGTAGATCCATAGTAGAATAAATTACAAACGTAGTTGGTTGAACGGTTCATGGTTCAGGGCGCCAAATAAACTAGAGAGTAAAACCTCTGTTGCCAGCGCGTTTCGCTACATGCACCGTAGCATTATCAGGGCTGTGCCCAAGTGGCTGCCTGAAGGCATTTAGGTCCAACAGGCGAACAGTACCATTGTTTTCCAATTGACCCATGTTTTACAACAAAGCACAGTTAACCTGCTTGACCAGAATGTTAACCAACAAACGCAATGTAAAGTGTGAACAAACACAATGTTAAGTCACATTAAAATAACAGTCGTTTGCCATGTTTACCTGATTTGGCGTGTTAAATTCGTAATTGCACGGCAGCTTTTACTAATAACCATGGTAGAAGTGTATTTATTGCACAGAGGGTGTTTCCTAGCCAGTATATGCAGGAACGCCTTAATCAGCTAATCTACTTTAGAATGGTAATCGCATGCTGGACAATACCAGAACTGTTTGCTTGTCCAAGGCGGATGGTAGAGAGGTGCTCTTCAATAGGGATATTCAACTTCCAGTAGATCTTTCCAATGTATGTCGCAGTCTCCGCGCTGGACTCTGTATACTACATTTAACTCTTCTTCCGGGTTAGTGAGCATGTACTTATTGAATTAAACAGCGGATCTGCGGTTCGCCTTAGAAAAGCGGTCAATTCCGGTATTGCTCAGCATGCGATCACCAAAAGACATTCTTTCAGTCAGACCAGTGTGTCGGTCATAGACAAAGGTCATTCTAAATAAAGGATTCCCTGCACCTCTAAGGCCGGCACTTGTCTAACTCTCCTAATGCTGAAGATTGCTGTCAGTAATA